CTCAGGAAGGTCCAGGTAGCAACAAAATAATGGAAGGGAAGGGCTAACACCAACTTGGGGGAGGGAGGCTATCCAGAAAATTACTTTGGGGAATTGAAGAGCGTACCAGAATGGGATGTCAGTAAGACAATGGGTAAGGGAGCTATGCCAGCAGAGGTCTGTGCACAGATCCAGATGAGGGAAAGAGAACAAATGGTATGCTTGTGCAACTGAAAGAGTTCACTGTGGCTACGGCATGGGCTGGGTGATGTAGTAGAGAGGTAAACTGAGGCCAGTTTGTTTGTGCCTGGCCTCCTAAACCACAGCGTGGTTTTGATTGTATCCTAAAGGCAATGGAGTGCCAATGAAGAAAAAATGTTCCTACCCTTGTTTTTTTTTTTTTTTTTGCCATACTTTTCTCTCATAGTTCATGCATGACTCACACACACACAACTTTAAATCCTTAAACAAAAGAGAGTATAACCAACTGATTCACTACTCCATTAGAGAAAGTTAGCTCAAGTGAAGAAAACCTAGTATAACACATTCATATTAAAAAAATAAACCAAGTAAGAAAAGCTGTGTATATATGTACAGAGCATCTCTTGATGGATAAGAAACTGCTAAGAGCATCTGTCTCTGGGTGGAAAACTAGGTGCTGGGGAACAGGCACGGGAGGCAAGCTTTTACTATGTGTTCCTTTTTTTTTTAAAAATTTTGTACCATTTACATATTTATTAAAAACTAAATAAACTATAATTTTAGAGTAGCCCCAACCTATGAAAAAATACAACAAATTCGTTAATAGTTGCCATCTCTCTCCTGCTCCATTTCTCACTCAGATTATACAAGAATGTCAGACATGCCACATATCTATAGGAACTGAGAAAGGAAGTCAAGGAAGCCTTGGTAAGGAAATGATTAGCAAGGCTTAGTGGTCCGTAGAATGAGGGCATTTTAAGTGAACTTCACATTTGCCCTTGGGAGGGCGTTTGCATTTTTTTCTGTCTTAGCTTCACTGTCTGTAATATAGTATATCATGAAGGGATTTTTATCATAGAGTAGTAGTGGTAATTCAATGTGCTAGATCCTGGTTATTAAAAGGTGAACAAGACTATACCTGATAAGAAAACAGGCAGATGCAAGGTTATCTTCAAAGAGATTCCAATCTGATATAGAGGAGACAGATAAGTAAATAGGTAATTCTGGCACAATGTGGTAAACACCTCAGAGCCGGCATCCAGTGCCTGAGGGATATGTTGGGTTCCAGGAACCAAGCCTGAGTTCTTGTGTGAGTGTCTGGACAGTTTCAAGATTGTGCTTAGAAGGGCCCCACATTTGGAATTGAGAAGTCTAAGTTGGGAGTATAAATTGGGGAGTTTTCACAATACAGATGGGACTTAAAGTCTATTATTTAAAGTCTGGGTGAGATTGTGGGAAGATGATTGTAAACAGAGAAGAGATCTCAGGACTGTGTCTTGGGGGAAGAAACCACTGTTCAAGTGCCAGGAAGTGGAAAAGAAGAGGATCTAGGGGCTGGGGATGTGGCTCAAGCGGTAGCGCGCTTGCCTGGCATGCGTGCGGCCCGGGTTCGATCCTCAGCACCACATACAAAACAAAGACGTTGTGTCCGCAGATATCTAAAAAATAAATATTAAAAAAAAAAAGAGGATCTAGGAAGGGAGATCTAGGAGAGGCCTGTGAAATTCAGAAAAGCCCAAAGTGGTTTCTTAGAACCTAAGTGAAGAACATACTTTAAAGCAAAGTGATCAGTTGTGACAAATGCAGTTAGGAAAGAGGTCAGCTTGGAGGCAGGTCTGGGGGCAGTATGGCTATACCTACAGGTTCACAGGGAGACTGAGTGCAAGGTGGGAGAAAGGAGCATGTCAACTATGCAGACACACACAAGCACTTTGTGAGCATACAATCACACTATTTGTCTGGGATTTGTGAACAGACACTGGAGATTACACTCTAGGCTCATGTACAGAGAAGAGGTCTGAGAACATAGAATAAATTTTGACAAGTGCCATATCAATGGATTTATAGAATCTAAGCAGAGCCTGACTGGAATGTGTTCAAGGGGAAGAAACTGGAGATGGTCAGTATCAACATTTTTTAGAAGCAGTGATTAAAAAACAAAAACAAAAAACTGGAGGGTTAGCTAGAGAATGATGTAGAGTCGAGAGAGGGGCTCTCAGATTATAATGGGAGAACTTGTATCATGTTAGTGGAAATGATCTAAAGAGGGGAAAAAATGGTGATGCAGGAGAGAATGATCAGACATCCTGGACAATATGAAGAGAATACGGCACTTGAAGCAATGAGGAAAGGTTGACCTTTAAGAGAGCAGGCAGTTTGCCCACAAACAGGAAAAAGGACAGAGTTTGTTTGTATAGATAAAAGCAGGCTGATAGGTATGGAAGTTCTTTATCTCCTATTTTCTTAGTCAAATGGGAAGCAAGACCCACAGCTGAGAGAGAATATAGGGAGGAGATGGGAGAGGTTTGAGGAGAAATGTGGAGTGCACCCACAGAAGTTGTGTAAATGGCTCATTTTGGTATCTTCTATAGCATCTTCATTTGGTCAGCAAGTATGTTCTGTCTACAATTTCTAGGCACTTCAATAAACATCAAATGCTTCTGGAAAGAATGTGTGATCATAGATCCTATTCAAACACACCCCACACATTTTTCTTCCTGATCTGGAAGAAGCCAAAAGCCTCTGAGAGAGGCCACTGCAGGAGCCTCCTAAATGGCTTCTTGGAATCCAACTCCGTTTGAGTGATTTTCCTGAAACACAAATCTGATCACATCATATATTTTCTTTAACTCCTTTAATGAAGATAGGTGAGAACTTGTGGCAAATTGCTTCTAGAGAGGAAAACAGGAACACAGATTCAGGGGTGGGAGAAAGACTTTTCATGGATGCCCAAGTGTAGTGTGTAGTACTTGGCAAAAATAATTAAACATGTAATGAATTTATTTGCTACTCAAAAGACAATATCCTCCCGTCAGAAGTCTGTGCGCCTCTCTAGTGTCCCCAGGAGAAAGAAAATCCCTGACTTTACTATTAACATTCTTCTGGGCCTTGGAGCCAGTAGATAAGCGCCTTTTTCCTTCTTTCCCGCTTTTTTTCTTGCCCCGCCTTCCCCATCTTTGCCAATGCACTTCCCCGTTTTTACTTCCCACTTTTCCAGACTTCCCCACCCACTTGGCCAGTCCCCGCCTAGGCACTCCCCTGACATTTCAGCAGCAGACACTTAAGAAAATCCAGAGGAAATATTATGAACGGATCTGTTTGCCTCGTTTCATCGTTAGTCCAAGAAGAGGGTAGCTTATGATCCAGCGCAGTGTGGGCACAGAGTGGGTGTTCAGGGAATGTCAGTTGCATGAAACTAGCCTTGCGACCCATGTCCCTAGCAGTCGCCTCCGTCAGGGAACATGTGGGGAAAGCGATGCAGACGAGGAGCTGGCGTCAAACAGCCCTCTTGGATTTCTCTCTTGCTGACTGAGGTGCCACTGCTGGCGTCCCTCGGTCTAGAGGGACCCGCGGAAGAGAGAGGCTGGGGTGGCACCACAAGGAGCGCACAAGGATGCACGCTGTAGAGAACAGGAGATGGTTTGTCTGGCAGTCCGAAGGGCTAAAACGTCCGAAGGTTGCCGCAGTACGAGGCTAAACCAAGAGGCTGACTTGCCAGGCGTGAGTCACAACTCGGCGGTCTCTTATTAGAGGAAGCCCAGAATCCACGGGTAAACAAGCACAACCTGCAGAGCCCAGGCGCCCCGCGCGCCTGCGCAGTCGGGCCCCGCCCGCGTCCCCCAGGGCCGGGCCCGCCCCGCCTCCGCCTCCGCCTCCGCCCTCTGCGTGCGCACCGCCTAAAGCCCGCCTCCCAGAAAGACTGCCGGCGCATGCGGCCAGGACTCATCACTGGCTGCCGGGGGCTCACCGCGAGAGTCGCCGGTGTAGCTCTGTAGTTGACGGAAGGATCTGAAGCCGGCCTCAGGTAGGCTGACTCCAGGGATCCCGGAGGAACTGCTCTCCCATGCAGGAGTCAGCAGCTCCAACCGAGACCTGTTCGCCCGGCCCCGCGCCGGGATGACAGACGCCGCTCCCCACCAATCAGGGGCGAGGTGGTCCGGCGTCCTGCCCAATGGGCTGAGTGCCTAACGGGAGTGGGGCGGGCGGCCCAGGCCGGCGAGGTGCCGGCTCCCGCGCGCGGGCCGCGTGGCCGGGAGCCGCTGCGGAGAGGGGCCAGGAGAGAGGGCCGGACAGGGCGGGAATGGCCACAGGGGCCGTGGGGCCCGCATTGCAGCGCTGGGCAGTGCCCGGTCAGCCTGGCCTGGCTCATGGACGGGGTAGAGTCTCTGAGCCCGTGCTCAGCGGTCCCTGGGAAAGCCCGGTGGCCGCCACTTCATTCCGTCTGCCACAGCCCTCTGGTCTCAGGCCTCGGGTTCGCCCACCTGGAAGGGGGATTCCAGGCCCGCTGTCGCCCGCCGCGGTGGGGAATGTACCAGGCGCCCCGTGGCCCCCACAGATCCTCCGTTGGGGGAAGGGGCCTGTGAGCTCGCCGGGCCTCTTGGTCCCTGGATGGCCCGTGGCCCAGCCGTGCTCACCTCCTTCCCCGCGGCGGAGGATGCAGGCTGTCTGGAGAAGTTCACTACGTTTGCGTGGCGCACTCACGTCCGCACTCGTTATAATCTTGAATCGTCAGCAGCCCGATGATTGGGGCGGTGCGGAGGTTCTCACCCTATTTTCCGTGATGTGAGTCCCAGCACCGGGCAACCCAAGGGACCTGACTGAGGTCTCAGCTCACGAACGATAGATGGAACTTGATCCCACAACTTTGATTTTTTATATTTTTAAAGGTTTTTGATTTTCACCTTTGGTGAATTTCTTTGATGCATCTTGACTTATGTTGTTTCTGTGAGTGTACACCTTCCGATGTCTTCCCATCATCTTCAGAATAAAGTTAAGATTGGGCATTCAAGGTGGCACACAAGTTGGCACCTTGCCGTCCCTGTTCCTTCCCCTCTACTTTCCTGTTTCCATGCTCTGGGCCACGCAGTCAGTCCTTCAAGGCCCATCGCAAGTCAGGTCTACATAGCAGAAGAGGTTTAGATCCTCCCCCACTCCAGACTGCCACTCACCACCCTCTGATGGGCCATGGCACTATACTGTGGTCTCACCGAACGTTGTTTTGCCCTCTCTTTCCATTTTTATAGTCTTCATACGTTGTCCCTTCTCTTCCCTCCACCCCTGGCTTACTCATTTATTTGTAAATCTTCTGTCAATATCTGAACTTTCAGCAACCTGAGTTATGGGTTCAAACCTAAGTATTTTGGGAGAGGGTCCCCCACAAAATGTGAGTGGTTTTCACATGATATGTAGACTGTAATCTGAGGGAATGACTCTTTTCAGACTCCCACTGGATCTCTGCAGGGATATTTATTGCCAGGCTCTGTAGGAGACTGAAAGAATCTGCCCCAAAGACAGGCGTTACCCTTTTAGAGCATAACTGGGACAAGTCAAGTGCAAATGAATGAGATGACCCTTTTGCAGAAGAAACCTATTCAAAAACTCAGTGTGGCTGAGGAATTTCTAGGACCATTCAAAATTTAGTAGGTGAGACCACGTTATGGTCTTAGGCAGAGATGTCTTTTTAGGACATAATTGACAACAGAGCGGAGCCAAGGCAGGTATTTGTCTTGTCAGTAAGAGACCATTTAACTAGAAGATGCCAATGGTGAGAGTAAAGGTTCCCCCCAAATAATAGGGTTTAGGGTCAATAAGTTTGAGGAAATTGCTTTCTGAGTACCCCCTTCTTGGAAGGTCACAGTGTCTGTTAACTCATGAAGCACCTCTTAAAGGCTTGTATTAAAGAAACCAAATGGGTATGTTTAGTTAGCATTTCTCTGGTTTATCTGTCCATAAAACTCTTTGTGAAACTCAAAAAACTGCTGCAGCAGAGGATAGAAAGTGCAGGCCCACCTCTTCCTTGCTGTCTGAGGGAAAGGCATTCTGAGCATTCTGATTTCCTTGCCAAGTGTGTTCATTCCTGCTCCAGTGAGGAGTGGGGCGGGGAATGCTCCAAGCAGAACTCCCCTTTCCTAGTTCCTTTCTTAGCTTATTTTTGTTAGAATCGGTCTTCACATGGAACATTCTTGGTGGAGGAAAATGTCCTCCCCCTGCAAAGCAAATAGCCTCTGCCACTTGGTGATTGTGTTTTTCTTTTTGGTCACATTTGGGTTTGCCTTCTGAATGCCGATTCTGGGTCTCTGAAGCTGGGGACTGGTGATGAAATCCCCCCTGGTGATTAAACCCTGCCTGTCCCTGTGTCCTCACTGTTTGCCTGTGCCATTTCCACCTGTCTCTCTACTCTGCTGTCCTTGCAGCCACCTCACTTACCTCTCATCGGGTCTCTTTCTTCACTCTCTTGCAGCACTGTACTGCTCTTTGGATTTAATGTTTCCTCCCTCTGACTCCTCTGCCCATTGCTGGGTTTCTATCCGACTTATCTGAGATCCCTTTCCCTGTGTGTTTAGTTTTTTTCTTGGCATACCTGGGAGAGATTGCCACCAAGAAGTAAGTTGTTATTACAGAAGAAAACTACCTGTAATTGGAAGAATTTTAGGTTTAGCTTTAACTCCTTTTTAATGTTGAACCTCTTTTCATCTGTTTTCCACAATATAGAGGAGCTATTTCTCAGTGATACATTGTAGTTTAGCCAAAGACATTATTTCTTTCATAGAGAATTCAAGATTGCATTTTTTTCTCCATATAAGGGAAGTAATGAGACACCTGCCTGGTATCCCAGTATTTGGTGGTGATGTTAGGTAATGTTAAGGGCCTAGTGTATCAGCCAGCTTAGAGCTGTTTTTTGACTCACAAGGTCATTGTCAAAGATTTAAGTAAAATCTACATTGTTGTATAGCGGTTGGTTTTTCTACTGGTCTTTGACTAATGTCTTTCAGTGATGTAAGAAACATCTGTTATGATCCTGTTTAAACCTGACAAGAACCTTCTGAAGTCATGAGTCATGTTCAAGGGGGTTCTTAGCCAGTAATTGGCAAAATAAGTATTTGAACCCAGTTGAGTTTGATTTACTGAAATACATTTTATCTATAATTTTTCTTTCAGATCAAAAAGGAAAATGAAGTACATTTTAGTTACTGGTGGCGTTATATCAGGAATTGGAAAAGGAATCATTGCCAGCAGTGTGGGCACAATACTAAAGTCATGTGGCTTACATGTAACTTCAATTAAAATTGACCCCTACATTAATATTGATGCAGGAACATTCTCTCCTTATGAGCATGGTAAGCAATCAAACAACCACCTCCCCCATCTATCTTTTCTTAAAAACTGTGTATGTGAAAGAATATGTCACCTCTTGGGCATATTTACATTTTGTTCAACTTCCATTTCCTGCCTTCTAAAATGGTCCCTAACTAGCATGGCAGAATTTCTGATGCTTTTTCTTACCTGGATGGGAGACGCAGAAATCTTAGCAGCCAATTTAGTGATTAGAGTCTACGAGTTTCCATAAAGGAAAATACCTTTTTGGTAGCAGTTGAATAAAAATTTGTTATTTCTCTTAAGAAAAGATACCTGATGACATAATAAACTTTTTCATATTTGAGAAGAGAGGGAGTATGCTTTTTTTTTTGGAGAGAGAGAGAGAGAATTTTAATATTTATTTTTTAGTTTTCGGTGGACACAACATCTTTGTTTGTATGTGGTGCTGAGGATCGAACCCGGGCCGCACGCATGCCAGGCAAGCGCGCTACCGCTTGAGCCACATCCCCAGCCCGAGGGAGTATGCTTATTCTTTGTGACACCAATCTTTAGAAATTGAATGGTAGGTGAAAATTGTAAGAAGACAGATTTTAGCACAGTATAAGAAAGATCTTTGGGGCTGGGGTTGTAGCTCAGTAATAGAACGCGTGTCTAGCATGTGTGAGGCACTGGGTTTGATTCTCAGCACCGCATATAAAAAACTAAAATAAAGGTCCATTAACAACTAAAAAAATAATTAAAAAAAGAAACAAAGAAAGATCTTTGTAATAGCAAGCATCCTTCAAGAACTTCAAGAAGCTGTGAATTGCCTTTGGTGGAAAAGTCCAGACAGAGGCTCAGGACCACTTTGTAGGGATTCAAGCAGCAGGTAGATGCTGGATTTGAAAGATCTGTAAGCTTGAATTTTGTTTTGCTGGTAGAGTTTGAATAATATGAATAAAGATCTTTAAGTTGAAACGGTTAGAGAGCGTAGGAAAAGAGCATCTTACCTCCTTGTTGTTGTTGCTGAGTTATCTCAGATCCATTGTTTAAAACTGGGGGAAATGTATTATGAAACCATACCTTTAAGTTGTAAAATTCTTCATTCTTACTCTTCCTTTCTAATGTTGAGGTTAAAGTCTGTAAGAACATTATGTAACAAATAGTACTAGGAAAAGGTCCATATACTAGGGGGATTTTTTTTTTTCTTGGTGTTTCTAGGGCTGCAATCCTGGGTTTTACACTTGTTAGGCAAAGCCTAACTGAGCTACATCTGAGCAACTACTGATCTTAGTAGATTCTCAAGGGCTCAGCTACATCTTCAACCCTTGGAGGAGTATTAAATATAAAGTTCTTAAGCACTTAAGAAAAAAATTGTGGTCGGGTTGTGGCTCAGTAGTAGAGCACTTGCCTAGCATGTGTGAGACACTGGGTTTGATCCTTAGCACCACATAAAAATAAATAAATAAAATAAAAATATTGGAAAAAACAAAGTGATAAAAGAATTTGCTTATTAAAATAAATAGATAAATAAATAAAGGTACTGAGTTTATCTACAACTAAACAAATTTAAAAAAGAAAAATAGACATTTTTTTCCTTTCCTGTTTTTGAGCTTGTCTCTTATTGTGATGGTAGGAATGAATCATTCTAAACAAAAAGATCTAGAATGAAGTTGCAAGAAATGAATGTGAAACAAAGGAATGGGGGAAGGTTGGGCAGATTCACAACTTAGCTTAGAACCAAAGGGTAGCCCAGAGGCTGTTTTTTTTTT